AATACCAGGGACTTGAATATTCTCCATTTTATCCAGGCACCTGGTGGTCATGAACTGACTGCTGACTACTGGGAACTGGTTGGCCTGGCGCCTCCTGGTGGAGCTGACGCTATCCTCAACGAGGAAGCTCTACCTGATGTGCAGCTTGACAACAGGTAACTACTTAGTTACTTACTTTGTTTCCCTTACCGCCATACTCAAAGTCATTCAATAGTTACTAGAACGGTTGGAATAATGTAAATAATTGTGAAATATCTATAAGTATGGCGGTTTATAATATTAATTAAATTCATATGTAGTATGGTCGTTCTCACTTTATTGCTTTGATAATCTGGTGATGTGTTATTGTTTTGCATGAACTGATTTTATAGCCTGTAGGTTTAGCCTAGTTTTATTGAGTTTTATAATACCAAACTCTCAATAATACCATAGAATTTTGAAATGTGGATTTAACATAACTAGCCAAAAGTTAATACTAGATTTAATTATGCATTGTCGTTTGAAAGATGATAGAGAAATGAAAGATGTGGCTTATGTATAAATTGAAATGAAGTCGAATCTTGCAACAAAACTTTCAAGTAGAAATATTTGAAAGTTTTGTATTATATAAATATGTAAATATTTCAGTTCATAAATGTCTTCAGCACATTGGGCTAAAATTTTGTAGAAACATTTAGTTTATCCTTACTATCCTTACTATAATAATATTATAAATGGGAAAGTGAGTTTGTTTGTTTGTTCCACTTTCACGCCGTAACTACTAAACCGATTGCTTTAAATTTTTGCAGACGTGAAGTTACAAGTCTAAATTAAATAATAGGGTACTTTTTATCCCGGAAAAATTTGATATTCTCGAGGGAAAACGAAATTATTGGTATAGATAGCACTGTGTGTATTGGTTTATGTCACATAGGCTACTTTTTATCCTTTTGTGACGCGAGCGAAGCCGCGGGTAAAAGCTAGTATGGCCATAAATGCCAAGCTGCTGAAAAGCTTGATTCAGAAAAGTTTTAATTTAAATTTGTTTCTTCCCCCAGGCACATAATGATCCGTGGCGAGAACACGTCGAAGGTGCTCCGCGCGCGCGCGGCCGTGACGCGAGCGTTCCGCGACCACTTCCAGTCGCGGCGCTACACCGAGGTCACGCCGCCCACACTCGTACAGACGCAGTGCGAGGGGGGCAGCACTCTCTTCAAGTTTAGCTACTTCGGGTAACTATACATAAACGTTAATTGTATGATATTAATAGGCTCACCCCCTATTACATGGGACTCATAACAGAAATAGTAAAAAGTGGGTGTTACAGTGTACAGCGGCATTAAATGCAGTAAAGTGCACCTCTGCCTTTCCCTTCGGGGATAAAAAGGCGTGATGATGTTTTGTATGATATTAAAGATTTCTAGAATTATGGTAGTCGCAGATAATTTTATGAATTATCTAGAGAAACTTGTCATTTCTAAAAGTCACTGAGCCATATTGTTGCCATATGTTTAAGTATACCTTTCGTATATATTGTAAAAGGAAACTGCAGTGTGATCATCAGCTATAATTTATAGCTTATAAGTCTAACGTAAAAAACCTTTTAAATGAATTCAGAAAACTTGAATACAAGCTATTTGTGACTAAAGCTGATGGATTTCACCATTCCAGACAGGAGGCGTACTTGACGCAGAGTTCCCAGCTGTACCTGGAGACCTGCCTGGCCACGCTGGGGGACGTGTACTGTATCGCGCAGTCATACCGAGCGGAGCAGTCACGGACGCGCAGACATCTCGCTGAGTATGTACACAATCTTATGTTTACTATTATAGTACTCGAGTTAGTAGGCCCAGTTAATTTAAAAACTGATATATTATTCTATAAAAGCTACACCTTAGCATTTAACCTACCTTATAGCGTAGCATGTCCTACAAAAATTAACGTTAAATTTGATAGTTTTGTTGTAACAAATTGATACACCACATAGGATCCATGCCAAATAATGGGTTTATACATATTAAAGGGAGACTCCTTGCTCTATAGTAGTAAAGTTGATATATTTTATTCAATTGAGATTTTTTGTATTTGTAACCAGGTACAGCCACGTGGAAGCGGAGTGTCCATTCATAACGTTCGAGGACCTGCTGTCTAGACTGGAGGACCTCGTCGTGGACGTAGTGGACAGAGTACTCGCCTCGCCTGACGCACATCTTGTGCACGAACTTAACCCTAACTTCAAGGTAACCTTATTTCGATTTTAAACCTTATTTAAGTGTAGATAAATGTGGTTATAAACTGAAATTCCATGCTTTATTAGTGTCTGTGGCTTATTTATTCTAAACTTGCGATGATCAAAGTAACAATGAATTAAAATACTAAATATTAGTATTTACCTTACAGAGGCCTAAGAGGCCATTCAGACGCATGGCGTACACGGAGGCTATCGAGTACCTGCGCGAGCACAACATTACCAAGGAGGACGGATCTTTCTACGAGTTCGGAGAAGTATGGATACTTTACTTATACCTATTTATATTTACTTATTGTGTTTTCAATATTCAAATTAATTGGACAGATATAAAGCCGATTGTAAAGAAGTTCAATTATTTAGAGCGAAATTTCTTATACTGTAATTTTTTTTGCAATTTTCTTTTTCTCTTATGATGCATATCGAGACACCTAAATTTTTCTCTATAGAACACACTTTAAAACAAGCTTATAATCTTATTTTCTCTGATTTTCCAGGACATCCCAGAAATGCCAGAGCGCAAGATGACGGACGAGATCGGCGAGCCGATCCTGCTATGCAAGTTCCCGGCGGAGATCAAGTCGTTCTACATGCAGCGCTGTCCCGAGGACCGACGCCTCACTGAGTCTGTGGACGTACTGATGCCGGGCGTCGGGGAGATTGTCGGCGGATCCATGAGGACTTGGGACCATGAGGAACTCATGGAAGGTCAGTGATAAGTTTTAGTGACTTTTGAAAGTGAAAAAGTGGGTCGTATCTTTTAAATTAAAGTGAAAAAATTATGATAATGGGCTTCTAGTGTTAATTTTTTGTTAAGATTGCACTAATTTTTGTATTTAAAACAGGCTATCAGAAGAATATGAAACCTAACTAATCTTCAAAACCAAAGAATGTAGTTACCACGACTATATTTCGTTAATTCTAAAATATGTTTTATTTGTTCAGGTTACAAGCGCGAGGGCATCGACCCCTCCCCGTACTACTGGTACACAGACCAGCGCAAGTTCGGTACAGTCCCGCACGGCGGGTACGGGCTGGGGCTGGAGCGCTTCTTATGTTGGTTGCTGGACCGCCACCACATCCGCGAGGTCTGCCTGTACCCTCGCTTCCTCGACCGCTGCACGCCCTAGGAGCACTGTCGACCAACATACTTTGACCTCTTTAATTACATGTTTGGAAAAAAATAAGACTTATTTGCGCTAAATTGTCTGGAGTTATAGAAAATGTTTGAATTAATCTTTGGGAACGTGTGACTGAATTTTTGCCATTATTTGTTACATTTTAATAAGAATTTGTACGATGTCATAAGCCATGCAGCGAAATATTGTACGAGATTTCGTATCCAAATTTATGGCCTCCTTTATGTGTTTGGAGCGATTATAGGTATTATCATCGTAACATCAATCAATATTAACTATGCAAAAATATTTCTATCGTAAAAAATTTTCATTGTTGTTCACAAAATTAGGTTTAAAAGACACAACACTACATTCACTTACACTGCAAATACAACAAAAAATTCTAATTGTCTTCAAATGTTTTCTATTATGGTATATATAAATACCTTGGTTTATCTAAATTATAAAAAAAAATCTCTATAAGTATGTATTGATTGATACTTCTGAACTGTTTTGTTATTACAATGTTTTGTACAAGTCATACAATTTGCTTTTAAATGCATTCAATAGAATAAGGAATGTAAACATTCCGCTAACAGTTGCATTGTACATTTATTTATTTAAATACAGTTCCTACAATGGATTTTGTTGTTTTTATTGTTAATTAATTTACCTCCGTCTTACCCTATTACTCACAGTACCTATAAATATCAATTGAGTTTAAAATATTTTAAAATATCTAATCTACCCTACTGTATAAGTCGTCAGAAATTGTTCAGAGGTAAGACGTCAAGTTTGTCAAACTAATTTATGTTATTTTAAAAATACTAACATTCAGACGAATGATTAGGCTCATAAAAATAAGACTAATGACACACGATACATGCTGTGCCGGTGCTGAACTGCCGACCTCCGATTGTGGAATGAACTCCCTGTCGTGGATTTCCCAGTGGGCTACAACATGGGTTCTTCAAGAGTGAATAGGTTTCTTAAGGGTCGGCAAGACGCATGTAATGCCCCAAGTGTTGCAGGCGTACATAGGCCACGGTAACCGCTTACCATCAGGTGGGCCGTGTACCTACCTTTTTGCCAGCGTCGTGGTATAAAAAAAAAACATGACCATGAAACCAAAATTAAACTACATCTATAGTTTAAAATTATTTATTGCATTTACAAACAGTACAATTATTATCATACATTGGAAAGGCATTCGTGGTTGGTATCCTTTGGTTTTATAAAGAACTAAATAGACTATCTCATTATTTAAAAAATGAAACGTAGCAAACTACAACTTTAAAAGGTAGTGTTACTAGAGCAAAAAATATTTTTATAAATAAATTATTGTCCTGTGAATTTATTTTCATGTGCCATTCAAAAAATAATAGAAATTGATTGCGATTTATTCTTTTAATTTTATTGTTGTATTAAATTAAATTATGGTCTTATACTAAAATCACACAATCACATTTATTCGTCATGAGTACACAATCAAACTGATGCACGTTAAGGTGGGCTATCATACTGAAAACATTTGATAAATAGAAAAAATGCGACCATTAAAAAAATCATTCCTTCTGAACCTTTACAAAGTCACTGGCATTAATTTCTATGAATGGACTTCATAATGGAGACCTACCTTTACGAGTATTCATCTCAGTCATTCTAATTACAAAAAAATATAAAATGCATTAATTCATCTACATACAAGTGGGAGAAAGTTTCGTCTAGTCTGTGGTTTTTAATTTTATTGCTCTGCTAAAAACTTAAGGCACATTTGTTTACTAAGACTGCGAACTACTGTTGTTGTATAAAACATTGCGTTCTAGGTTCTAGTTGGTACTATTGCCTGGCTAAAAATAACGCACATTTATTTACTAAGTCTACTATTGCTGTTGTATAAAACAAAGATCTTTCCTATACACTTAAGTTTAGAAACGATGGAAAAACGCTTCTATGATAGTGGAAATAGAGCTTACAAAGTGGAGTTTCAGTCAATGTCTATTAGATGTTTCGTACTACAGCTACTTGTACTTGAGAACAAAGTCTAGGACGTTCAAGGCAACCACTCGGCGTCATCTTTGACGGAGTGCGAGCGTCCGGCGGGAGACTCGGTGAGGTCCTCCTTGCTGCTCGCCACCTTATTGTATACAGTCTTACCGGCCTCTACCACGTACTCTACGCCATCAGCTGGAAGAAGATGGCAAGAGTTAATATTGTGATTTCAAGCTATGAATCAAAATAATTATGATCGTAACATAATATTTGGGTTTTGGTCGTGATGACTCAACACGTTTTTGTTTTTAATTAGGTAGTCTTCGGAATGTAATCGGCATCGTCTTGATGTTTGCCGGGCTATATCGATTTCAACAGAGTATCTAAGTCGATAAATCGAATCTAATTTTGAGAAGCTTGTTGTTAAATTGGTACAAATGAAATTTTAAATGTGCACTTTCGTTAAATTACAATATCTTGTAAAATTTTAAAAGTTAGAACATAAATATTTCCTCACCGATAGCGGAGCCAGTCTTCCTGACAGCTTGTCCGATGTTGTGTGAGGAGAAGGTCTCAGGGTCGATGTTGATGTTGACACCTTCGGAGCCATTCTTATGGGTAGGACACTCGCTCTGCGATATGATGGACAGGTCATACGGGTCCACACCGAAAGCTGCCAACCTGTTGCGCATCTGAAGGGAGAAAATAATTGTTTATATTGTTAATGTTATTCAACATCTTGTTACCTACCATGTTTTATGCAAATAAATTATTTCGATGTTACATACAAAGTCATGACTATGTATTCATCGAAGATTCATGGAAGCACACTTACTTATTTTACCAAATAATTTATAATTAAATGTAATTTGCACAACATTGGTTTAGGCAAATAATCATCTCTACCTAGCCTATGTTACATGAATGATAAAGTCTCCGATGATCTCATAACACCACCTAAGTCAACACCAAAGGAATTGTAAACTTACTTATAATTATGTGTATTTATATAATTTTACGTCTATAGAGAAGGACACAGGAAGAGCATGTAGCACGATGCATCGCAGATGAATGAAACACACTTAATGTGATTATTTTGTATACCTTTTTTTAGCTGAGAATCTGACACATGCCTTAGAATACAATAGAACACGTGCTGATTGCTTACCAGCTTCCAATCCCATTAAAAAAAGATTGATTTATGGATCACTAGCGACCTGCCCCGGCTTAACACGGGTGCAATATGCATGTATTTTACGTATAAACCTTCCTTAAAAACCACTTTATCTATTAAAAAAAACCGCATCAAAATCCGTTGCGTAGTTTAAAAAAATCTATATAAGCATACATAGGGACAGACAGACGGCGGATACCGACTTTGTTTTATACATACGGGATGGAATTTCAAATCACGTTTTAAAATCCGCTCTACGGTTGATTTGGTGACGTTTAAAGCCGCCGCTCTTTTGCGTATTGACAAGCGTGGATTACGTCGAACGCTAGCTGCAACTTCGTTTATTGTTTCTTCCGTTCTTGAAGTTCTGCTTGGGCCCGGACGCGGTTGATTTATAGCGGAACCGGTAGCTCGAAACTTGATAACCCATTTACGAATCAAATTTTCGCTTGGTCCATCGCGTAAACGTCTGATATTGTAGTGAGAACAAAACTGTCTTCGAGCCACGACGTACGATTCTCCACCTTTCAAAAACGCTTCGATAGTGCTCACCCGACCACTGCGACATCGTGACTATACTGACCATAGATGAGTAAGTACTGACGTATAGATAGCCATCTCTCGATTTTGTATTTCATACTGCCATCTAGTTCTCAGACCCCGTACTACTTACTAGCAAATCACACATAGGTGTCTTACTATAATAAGCTGCCCTACACAGACAGGACAGGATGACTTTTTACCGCCGGGAAAATAAGGAGAGTAATTCTAGTAACGAATCCGCACGAATGACGAAGCTACTGCGTTCCTCCCCCCGCGCTTACTTGCAACGGTTTTTAAAATATTCAAATTTAAAATCCTAACTCTGCCGTGAGACACCCTGTACTATGTAGTAATAGTAACAAAGCTAAACGCCACGGGTGTTTCAGTACCTCCGAAGCATTAAATTACAACATGAAAAGTTAGTCTAGAATTAGATGATAATATATGTAGGTCCTTCTTACCTTGTCCAAGTAAATCCTGTCGAGTTCCTTGGTCCTTGAAAGGATGGTGGCAGACCTTCGGTGCGCGAACGCAAGCTTCTGGCACGTGAAGACGACGGCGTGGGTGGTGTAGTCAGTCATCAGGACAGTGTAGCTTGCTGACCCGGCTACGCCTAGAATAATAATTACAATTTGGTAAACTTTGTTATTTTTACGCTACCAATTTTTGATGCACAGTTGGAAACCGACCTAGAGAAACGTGGAGACGTAGTCATTATAGAAACGATTTTAAGAATTTTACAGAACATTTGTCTATACTTACTGAGTGGGAATCTGACTTTCATTCTAGCTGGCACTGCGGGATCTGGGACTGTTAGTACTCCAGTATACCTGGAAAAGACAAACAATATTTCATGAGTATTTCCTACACAAACTACGTCATTAACATAGTCAATCCACAAGTAGGAACTTCTGACATTTAAAGGGTTGATGATAAAATCCTAGATTCCTACATTTGACCCCATCAAAACTTATTTTAGTACTAAGTTTTTTAAGTTAGTTAAGTTTCGTTGAACAATTAATTACGACTACCAACCTACAGCAGGCGCTCATTTAGTTTCATTTATGACCCCCTTCCTCAGAATGTCAAACTAAGTACGCTCCACAACCTAGCTTATATTCGCATGTATCCATGTAGGTAAACATATTGTTCTCTAAGCAGCCATGTTGTCAGTGCCACCTACCTATAGTCATGCTTAAGAGGCGTCAGTCCCAAGATGAAGTGCTGAGAAGACTGTTCCAGTTCATATCTGTATGGCTCATCGGTCTTCGTGAAGTTGTAGGTGAGACAATGTGAGGCTGTCGACGTCTTCTGGATCACGTACCAAACGCCCAACATCTGGTGATTAGAAACGAATTGATTAGTATGTAATGTAGGCAGGTCGTACATAATACAAGTAGTAAAATTATGTGGTCGATTATGAACGGTTGCTGATATGATCGTAAATGTGTTTCGTGTTTTCTAAATCGAAATCTCATAAAAATATCTCAAGTGTTTAGAAGTACCTATGTACGTAAACAGTCTTTACTTCTACTTATGTTTCAATGACAGCACGGTTAACGCGGTGGCTGATGGGCAACCGGCCGCCGCGCAATGTGTAGCGGGTTCGATTCCCGCTCGGACCAACGCTTTGTGTGATCCACAGGTTGTTGTTCTGGGTCTGGGTGTCAAGTGTATGTGAAATTGTATGTTTGTAAACGCACCGCACGTATTAAATAAAAAAAAAAGAGATGACTGCCTACTTTTCTAATCACATGTATGTACATCGTAAAGAAAATGATTCGTCATTTACCTACTATCTAACTAAAAGTTTGTGTTGACCACCCCAGTAACTTTAAGACCCACAACAACAGGACGGCACCGACGATTCAACGATGATATTAAAAAAATATGATCCAAACCACACACAGCGTAAATACCTATCAATATCATGATTGAGAACCTAATGAAAATGAAAGTAATAAGTTGTCAAAACAATGGACGCGGCGCGCCAAGAACAATAGCGCTTTTAGCAATTGTTCATGTTCTATACTACCACAGATGGAATTCATTCATTCATGTAATCTGATCGTTACTCGGTCACATTTCGGTAATCCAGTCCAAACAATCTGATCAGGAATGTCTCACATGCTTTGAACCGAGGCAGCCCAATGAAAGATTCGAAAGAAAAAACTTATTGTCATATTCAATGAGATCATTGGATTAAATTCTGTCCTTTGTACCTGGGAACTGGTCTGTTGAATGCACCGTCCTATTCCTTTAACTCAACAAAGGTTTGAGGTTTTGTGTCTATAACATTAAATACCTATTACTCGATACATATTTGGTTCATATTCTTCTATTGAGTCCTTACCGTAGCTTTTTGTGATCATTTTATGGTGACATGCAATTCCTAATGTCCTTATGCTTCATTGACTGTTTGCCATTATGGTCTAAATTTATATTATATTCCAGTTTTGTAGATAAGTACAGCTTGGTTCAATGACCCCAACAAACTGACTAGGAATGATGCGTTCGAGTAAGCACCAAGATTCGGGATTAAAGCGGGCTTGATCGATACGTATAATATGAGGGGAAGGGCTGATACAAATGTACAACTACTAAAATACTTCAGTTGTTATGATTGTAAGAAGTTTTCGTTTTAGGTATACTAAAATCAATACAATTTATTATTTACAAACTGTACCTAGTTATAATGTACTGCGACGACTGATGATCTATAAATGTTCTGTAATACAAGGCAATTTAGGTCAAAATTATGTAGGTAGGGTACCTACTTGTTTACATTTGCTTATTCATGTGGACTTTCCGTAGTTTAACAAACTAACTACTTTATCATCACAATATTATAATAGGTAGGTATTGTATCACGTTCAAATATTTTACTTTATTCTAAAGTACTTAAATCTATTATTATGTTACCCATACTTCGCTAGTTTGGCCTTTTTGTCACGAACCGAAAGTTAGTAGTGACTCACGGACAAATGTTTTTGTCGATATTTTCATTCGTAAACAAACCATCAACTCCTTTTAAGTTACTTCATTTTTATCCGCTGTAGTAACTTGAATGGTGATGTTTCCTTATTTATGAATCCTTTTTACTCACTAGATAATTGGAACAATATGCGATGTGCATAAATCATGGGTCACTATTTGCATATTATGCGAATACAATGACAAATGTCAGGGGTTACCAACTTCATTACAATTCCTAATGATATTGCATTAAGCACGAACTTCACTAAACAACATTTTTAATCAAACAACTTATTATACCGGTTTTTACCTCTCACCAAAAAATATTTAATTTAGGTATCTACATAAAATTATTTTTGTTTTAATTAATATGAGCAGTTACCAGGCAGGTATCATTGGACCTTCTTTCATTTCGATCGAACTGTTTAAAACCGTCTAACCTACTCAGGTTCATTCGAATCTGGGTTATGTGAAAGTGTATATTATGACTAACGTAAATGTTTAAATAAGATATTTCCGAGAAACAATCTTTCTTCTACCACTGAGTCATCGTATCTTGTTATCGGACTACGACAGCTGATCAATTTCTTTTGTTTGTATAACATGACTGAGAATGACTGATCATTCTCTTGACTCAATCACATTATCACTGAAAGGTAAACAGATGTGTAGTTTACTACGGCATCTATTAATACTTAAGATGCTTTTGTTTTGGTAGATGATCAGAATAGATCAATAGAGCATATTAAACAATCATTTCGTGACAATTCCTGCTGAACTAAGGGTCAGTGGGTCATCTTAGGAACAGATTTAAGGGCTTTTTTTAAGGGGGAAAACCACAATGATGCTTCCGCCTGGGTGAGGCGGGGGGTAGTGTCAGACTCTTACTGACTAAAAACCACCCCGTTCCTGCTCCTGCACGTCGAGCCGGAGCCCCGGTAACCCTTTAGGTTCTCTGCGACAGATTTAAGGGCTAAAGGCCTCCTCGACTTAAGGTTTGCCGTAAAATCCTCTCTTTAGCAGGCGTGTTGAACTGTTGGTTTTAGGTCTCTTTCTACCAAATGTGTTAGTCGTCTAAGGACAACCGATTTTATTTGCCGGTCACAATGGTGTAAATTTAGCTAATAAGCATGGAAAACGACATTGTTTTTATTTATACTTTTAAAATAAATATGCATAGGTATTTATGTACTCATGTAACTAAAAACTTATGACCCAGATAAGCTGTAATTACTTAATACATTTTTAACAAAGCACCATTTAGGTAAGTAATTTATAATTATACGCATATACATAGTAACATTGGTTATCATTTCCTTTATCCGTTTATTTATTTCTAACTTTAACAACACAAGATTTTTATTTGTTGATATCTAACTGCGCAATTTTGGTGGCCAACTTAATTTTTATTGGGAACTAAATTATGGTTTAGATTACCTTGTAACATAAGGCATGTTACTATAAGAAGTACGAACGTAGAATATTATTTAAGTAATACAATATTCTAACGCCCGAATAATGAAAGGCTACATCAATTTTAAGTTGCGCTCTATCGTTAAAAATCCATTGTAATAACAGTGACGCCACGATACTGTCAAACGCCTTAACTACTTAATTGACAAAATCAGCCTTGTATAAACTGTTCACATCGGCTCCCACCCGACTCATTCCCACTTAACTTAAAATTGAATAAGTAGCCTTTCAATAATGGGAGTAAAGTAATCAGAATACTAAAGCTTCTAACCTCTTCTTCTACTTAGACGTAAGATTGGTAATTTCAAACATTATTTTATTAGGTAATACATGTAAACTCATTTAATTAAGAGCATAAATGCAGTTCGATTGCAAATAACCATCATATTAATGTTTATGATAATGAGCTTACTTACTTAATGTGTGAAATAACACGTGTAGATAACCGTTAAAAGAAAGTACCTATTTTTCATACAATTTCTTCTTAAAGGACAAGACACCTACATAGAGAGGTCTTATATTAAAGCCTTGTTCACACTAAGCTAATAATTTAGTCGAGTAGCGAATATTCAGTACTCCTCTCCCTCGCTTCTGTCCCAAAATGGAAAGTGAGAGAGAAATACTAAATATTCGCAACTTAAATTACTAGCGTCGTGCGAACAAGGCATAAGTACCTTGGTTACGTGCAATATGGTGTAGATCTGTACAATGTATATCCACTAGTTTGTGTTTACCAACTGACTACTGCTAGTTACTTAAAAATGTAATTTATGTTTTCCCAGAATTTAATGTATGTAGGTAGGTACCTAGGTATACTTAGTGTCATGAATGCTGCTTATGTAAAAACATTTAAGTAGGTACCTGTTATGAAGAAAATTCCACTCTACGTAAATTAGGTACCTACTTGCCAATTAGTCAAATTCAATCCTTTTTTCGAACTGTCAATAACGACAGTTTTCTATGAATTTTGTACGAGATTGTGTATTGTGACGTCACGTTTTTTAGCGTCAAACAGCATAGGTACTTATTTCTTAAAAATTTGAAAATACTAAAATTTAGTTGGTCATGAAATCAATTAATGAAAGTGTGTTAATATTAATTTATGACAACAAAGATTGATCAATTAAAAAAACAACAAATAAAACTTTAGCATCTCATGATTTAAAACAACAATAATTAGAAATAAACAAAACTATTACGAGTGCGTTGAAGTCCACTGAATAATATAACTAATAATTCCACCTTTATTGAAGAACCTAATATGGTTCTTAAACTACTTAAGTACCTATGTAGATGTCTCATTATTAAACTAATAACATCAGATTTTAAAATAAATATATTTGTCCATCTATTGAGGCGAAAGTATAACAATTACCGAACCGTCGCAAAGTGATGTGGGGTATTGCGAGTTATTGAAGTTCTATTTAGGTATATTAACATGTGAAAATGTTCCTGAGAGATATTGCTAGCATACATAAATACAATGTTTACATAAGTGCTTATTCAGAGCACACATATTTATACGGTAAACAGAAAATAAGTGCAGCTACCAACACTACTATGATCTTGTTATCTGCTCTGAATATTTCCTACAATATCTTCTTGGTATACATAAATATTTTCCTATCAAAACAAAACAATATCACTCCTGTTTTTACCGAAGGAGATAAGAAAAATACACATCTTAGAAGTTGATATTGGCAAGACATTTTTCAAGGGCGAACCTATTGCCAAACACCGAACGGAATAATCCAAATTATTATTTATATTTTATAGTAGTCTATTCCTTTGACCAGAAAACAAGAATAGATAGTGGTACCTACCACAGCATAACACTGTTATCGGTTGTTTATTATTAGAAACAACACGAACTTACTATAGACTTACAAGTAAATACTGCTTTGTGAGTAATCTCTTTGTGCGCGAGTCACACTTGCCCACAGATCATTGTAATCTCACATGACCCTGGTCCCTCCGATCCCGGCACGATAATAAAAATAAATAACAAAAAAGACCCATAATGTACTGACCTTGTTCATTTCGAACCCGGGCATGGGTTCCACCACGGGGCACGCCCCCAAGTGGTAACTGTGACTGAATGCACCCCCACATACCGCCAACAACACCCCTAAAACCGTTAAACTGTACATTTTGAATACCGAACTGAATTTAAATTTGGAATTCGAAAGCACGCCGTCACCGGTCGGCGGTTGGTTTGAGACTGGCTGGAATACCGCAAACTACTCGTTTTAAACGATGGACGTCTCTGACCTTTCAACGCTAGCGATGCGCAGAACTAGAATTCCCAGAAACGTTGATATAATGCGTGCGTTCATTCATAAAACTTGTACAAATTTTGTAACAGCTCTAGGAAACAAAGGAAGGCACACAATAAATAAAATGTAAATACCGTTTTGGGTTGAAACCTTTTTTCTTGGGTTGATTCATACTTTTTTCAGTGATGTAATAATTAGGTAAAAAAAGTTAGTAAGATTGTAAAAAATTGGTATACCTACTCCCCCGGACTCCCGCACTTGATTTGCAATAATTACCTACTTACTTATTTTCCTGTTTACAATAAAATTTATTTAGCGGATACTTTAAATATATAGATGACTATCGTTGTTAAAAAAGTAAGCAATAACTAATTAAAAATAATGCCCACCGACGTATTTAATTACTCAATACCTTAAGGGAAACAAGGGGTAGGCAGAGGTTATGTCATAAGTTCCATGTGATAGGGAGTGAGCCTATTGCCATATACCATATACCGGGCGCAAATCCAGACTCCGTGCTACTACTGGGATTTTTTTACCAAACCCGAAATTTTGCCCGACCCTTGAAGCGAACCCGAGGCCCCTTGCCCGGCAGTCGCAATCGCAACGTACCGCTAGGCCAACGCAGCAGTCTATATGTCACTTAAGTACCTACATGTCCTACATATAATAATTTTATTGCAGCCTGGATAAGCAGATACCTTTCATTGACTTTTACGTCAATACGAACGAAGTTGCAAGTACTGTACCTAGGTACTACCTACAATATTATTTTGTTAAATTAACATAATTATCTTTTCCCAAGAGATAATTTAAAAATATGGATAAACCAAGCTTGAGTATGTGCGACTAGTGCGACACCATCTTAATTATCACCATCTTTGATTCTTATTTATTTTTATTAATTTTGCTAATGTTAAATCCTCAGTAGTTACCTAAATAATTAACATTTTGTTCCAGACATTTAGAGCAATATAATTTTCATTAATTTATGTTATCTGCTTTAATTATGTTACATAACTGCAAATGATTAATCATCGCTGTAATGTTACGTAAAGATGTAATTAAATGATTAATTACTGTTCCTATTTACGTCTTTCTGCCATTTTATTACTTTTACATAAAGAATAATTAAGAAAAATGAAAAAAAATCAAATAAAGAACCTTACATTGACATTTTGTATCATACCTAATTTGATCAATGGGTTCAATGAAACTATATACCACGTATGCATTTACTTATGCTTATAAAGGCTACCTATCATTTTCATTTATTTGACGGCACGGTTGGTGAGGTGGCTGGGCAACCATCGAGATATAAGTACTAACGTACTAGTAATACCTCAGTGTGGGCAACCCGCTATCGCGCAACGTATCGCGGTTTCAATTCCCGCACGGAGCAATTACTCTTTGTGCGATCCACAAATTGTTGTTCCGGGTCAAGGTGTCATGTGTATGTCAACTTGTATGTTTGTAAACCCACGACACAGGCTATAAAAACAGGGGCAACGTTTTTTTTTTAAAAAAAGAATACTCCACCAGAAAATTGACTATAACAGAATAACTTTTAGCAGTAAGTTGTGCTGCCATTGACACTCTAACGTACTTTAACTTTAAATAAATAAAATAAAAGTATTTGCTATCTGGTAATGGCGGTGACGTCACCTTCCAAACGTATCCCTATTCCCTATATACCTGAATACAAGCAGGAAAAACATCCCTATAATAGGTACAGGTGCCAGCAGACCCACCTTTTGAACAATTTGTCTTATCCATTGGATTTTCGCCTTTATGTCAATGCAATAAAGTTGAAGATGTGATAGAAAAATTGACAGAAAAGGATAGGTTCACCTTCTGGCCACCGTACCTGTACCTTCAGCCAAATGCCACTTTAGGGCTGATCTCCAGAGAGAGTAGAAAACTAAATGATGACACTGACAAGTGTCAAAATTTACGTCAATCCCATATAATTTGGACAAGCGCTAAATGGCATTTGGCTACAGCTGCCAGAATAGACAAAAAAAAACTGAAAAACAAAGCTAAGTTACTTTGGCATTTCGGAGTCGCGGAGAACCTAACGGGTAACCGGGGCTCCGGCTCGACGTGCAGGAGAAGGAACGGGGTGGTTTTTAGTCAGCAAGAGTCTGACACTCCCTCCCGCCTCACCCAGGCGGCAGCAGTGATTCGATGATTTTCCCCCCTTAAAAAAAAAAGTTACTTTGGCATTAGTAAAATTCATTGTTTCCGTGGTCACGGCGCTTTATGTAAATAACCAAGTTACTTGTAAGCTATGTGTCATTTAGTTAGTGAATCATATACCAATGTAGTTAATTGTAAGTAACAAATATGTGTCATTACTTATTCCTGCGGGCTGCGGTATAGATAAATAAAAGTAGGTCTAAAACAAAACAAGTCCTCGAAATCTTTGTTTAATTAATTGTTAGTTTCAATTTATTTTCCGTTACACTGATGATTGTTGAAGGAAAATACAATAAAAGTCTATTAGGTGCATACATTATTTATCAATGTGTGTCAAATACATATAATTAGACATTATAAGTCCACGGTTACCTCATGGTGTTTTCCTTCATCGGTTGTTAGTGGTGAATGATCTTAGAAAGTACATTAACTCGGAAAAAGTCATATTGGTACTTGCCGTTGGTAGGTTTCGAACCCGCACCCTTATGCATGACAAGCGGGCGTCTTAAACCTCCGGGGCACCACGACACATGTTATGTATCCCATCGGTAAAATCCTGGACATCTATATTATTACTGGTTGGTCCCTGTCCTCGCTCGGCAGCCCCTTCTAGGTTCAGTGAATCAACATCGTTTACGTCGTCCCATACTCATTATTATCATCATCATCATCATCAACAAATTCAACACTGTAGTACTTTTTGCCTGCGACTTTATTTGCGTGGATTAGAGCTATGACATGTCCTTGCTGTTCAATAGGATTTTTGAATTTTTCAAATCTGCCATTAAACTGTCAAACACCAGGCGGTCACCGGCGACCGCAACCTATTGTTCTATAATTGTGTCTATATTGACGGTACTCGACGAGTTAAACATAGGTACATACATAAAAAACAAAGGCAAGTCAAAATCATAATCATTTATTTCAATTAGATCACGAAGGCACTCTTAAAAGTTAACAAAAAAAAGTGAAGCTCGTTCTTATTATTCTATGTATCTATATATTCTATAGAAATCTATAGATTCTATAGATTCCTATGGAGCATCCATGGATATGGATATGGATAGGGATATGCCGGATATCAGAGCAAGAAACTCCATAGGCTACTCTTTTTCAATCAGCTTCACAAAATTTTTTGTAGTTAAATTGTGTGGGAGAGCAATGCTTCAGCATAGGTGGGCTACCTCGACCGGAGTGATACCACGGCATCACAGAAAACTAACGTAAAACCACGCTTGCGTTGTGTTTCGTCGTGTGAGTCAGGTTACAGGGGCCCTATTACCCCTCTCCCCGTCCCCAATGCCTGAATCCACAACAATCCTTAAATTCCTGATCCTCAAAAGGCTGATAACGCACTTGCAACGTCTCTGGTGTTCCAGTGTCCATGGCCGACGCCGATTACTTACCATCAGCCGGTCTGTCTGCTCCTTTACTGGCTTATCCGTATCCCTTAAAATAGTCGCGGAGAACCTAACGGGTAACCGGGGCTCCGGCTCGACGTGCAGGAGAAGGAACGGGGTGGTTTTTAGTCAGTAAGAGTCTGACACTCCCTCCCGCCTCACCCAGGCGGGAGCAGTCATTCGATGATTTTCCCCCCTTAAAAAAAAACTCTTAAAATAAAAACATTACAAATACAAATGTTCCCACTTAATAGTATTTATTCAGCATACCTGCGAGACATAGTTCCACCCTAGTGATTTCCATATTCCGGGTAGTCAGTCCAAAGTCTCATTACCCTATAAAGACAAAAATAGCTACCTGAGCTACATAAGTAGATTACGTACAATTCTCTAGAACATCAAAGTTGGTTTTATTAGTGGTAATACAATAACGGGCGGTAGTCGGTATAATTCTGTTTACAGCATGAGTCACTGCGAAGCCGTAGTCAGTAGGGCAACCAGGCGACCACACTGGTTTACTAGACACGAAGCCGCCATGACTCAGCGCCTTACATGAGGAAATAATAATAATTTAATTTGGTTATAACGCAAATTTGAATATTTTATATGTATTTTATTAGCTCATTCTGACTTAGAGCGGATATTTCATACTAAGTACTTATGAATGTTATATTTTCTTAGAACTTGTTTGATGAAATATTCTCTAGCGCCAGTTCCCCTATACTTATTATACTCTTTGAGCGCCAGTGTGTAAGCGTGAGGTTTCCAATTGGATCCCTGTGTTCGATGACAGTTATTTAAATCTTTGTTCTGTTTACGGCGTTCGCCAATAGGCTTGACTTAGATTAAGTACTTACTTAAAAAAAATCATAAAATTTCGCTAGTACAGTGATTACAAATATTTATGTACCTACCTAATATGTAAAATTATGTTTTAAAACCATTTCCGATATTCACAGTAAACAGAGAAATTGAGTCACCCCAGTCAGTAAGCAAGTAATATTAGCTGAACGAACGAGATTTGTGATTGACGCAGCGTCGTCGTCATCGGCTTAACAACGCCATCCTGTCACGTACATAACAGTAGCTACTTATAGAAATACCAATTTAACAATACAGTTTATCATGTCGCTAGTTTCTATACAAAATAATTTATAAAAGGTAATTTTATTCGGGAAGTATTAGTTTGAAATTTGACCACCCGTAGTGTTAACTTGGTGGCGCTGGCGTAGATAATAATAGGAGCGTAGATTGTAAGTGCGTGCTTCAGTAGTTTAGCAGATGATAGTCATTGATCTAATGTTCACAGGCGTGTTCACGCATAAAGAATAGAAATTATATAAAACATTTGGCCTTGAACTTTGTTGTTATGTATACATACGAGATTGGGTATAAATTCGAGAAAATTACTATTCAAATTATTGTGATGTCACTTGTTAGATGATTATACCTACATACTAATAATGCAATGGTACCTATTTGTATCCTAAAAATTATACCTACATACCTTTATATTTATATACATGTATATTTATGAATTTTTATAGTATCTAGCAACAACAGAATCACCATCAACAGCCTATAAATGCCCACTGCTGAGAAAAGCCTCTTCTCACCCGGAGAAGGTTTGAGCATTAATCACCACGCTTGCTCAATGCGGGTTGGTTATTTCAAACTTATAATAAGATAGCCTAGGTTTCCTTACGATGTTTTCCTTCACCGTTTGTCAGTGGTGTCTGAATAATCTTAGAAAGTACATATAACTCGGGAAAAGTCACATTGGTACTTGCTGTTGGTAGGTTTCGAACCCGCATCCTCATGCATTAGAAGTGGGCGTCTCAAACCTCCGGGCCACCATGACATATTGATAAACAACAGAATGCATGGAGTTATCTACATATACCTACATTGTATAGGTCGGCCCATACTTGATGTCCTCCCTAAGCTATAAAACTAGAAAACATCTCCGAATATCCTCGATCCTTTAGTGGAAGAGCTTCGGCACCGGAGCGATGCCATGGCCTCACAGAAAACTGACATGAAACAACACTTGCGTTGTGTTCTGTTTCGTCATGGAAGTGAAGTTACCGGAGACCCAACTACCCCCCTCCCCAGTCTCCCCAATCCCAGACTTCCCCATAATCCCCAAATTTCCAATTCTCAAAAGGCCGGTAACGCACTTGTAATGCCTAGGCGTTCTAGGTGTCCATGGGCGGCGCCGATTGCTTACCATCAGATGATCCGTCTGCACGTTTACTGGCTTATACCATAAAAAAAGAAAATATATCTGCAACAAAATTGTACAAAAACACAAAGTCTTCTAGAGAAACTTTTATTTAAAAATATTAAAAAAGAATACACGAGTAATACTTTCCTTTACTTTAACATACACTTTACGAGCAGATGTACAAACTTACTTACGTAATTTTATTGTGATACAATATTACTTGCATAGCATCTCTATCCATTACTTAAAAAATAACAAGTTTTCAAACCTCAAAGTAATAAATGTAAGTCTATAACTTGGATATGGTATTGAATTGCTTATCAATAAAAACAGAATAAGTAAAGAAATAGTCTACAAGCTTAAGTTAGGCGGCAGTTCCACGGTGGCCATAGAGTTTCCTTCCATCTCCACCACAGCTTGATAACTTCCCAACTGAAGGTTCACTTTGGTCGCCTTGCCACTGCGATTGGAAACATTCATTATTATTGGTGCATGTGAAATGATTACAGGACCTTTATGATTTAAATACTAGATTCTGTCAGCGTCTTCGCTCAAGTTCCTAGTATACCAATTACTTATCTATACTTACTGCCTCGTTGACAGAGTGGTCGCAAGTGCGACTGCCGGGCAAGGGGTCTCGGGTTTGATTCCCGGGTCGGGCAAAGTATTACTGGGTTTTAAAAAAATCTCAGTCAGTCAGCACGGAGTCTGGAATTGTGCCCGGTATATGGCAATAGGCTCACCCCCTATTACATGGGACTCATAACATAAATAGTGAAAAGTGGGCGTTACATTGTACAGTGGTATAATGTGTACCTCTACCTACCCCTTCGGGGATAAAAGACATGATGTTTTGTTTTGTTATGTTATTATCCATACTTGTACCAAATTTCATCCAAATCCGTCCAGTACTTTTTTCGTGAAAGACTAACAAACGTACGTACATACATCCATACATCCTCCATAATAATAGTAGGATAACTACTTATAAAGACTCGTTTGTAAAACTATTCAAAATCTATTCAATTGACCTGACTTTACTATTTAATTACTGTTGGTTCGTATGATATCCTAAGACAAAAGGCTAAGCAGATAAAACAGCTTTCTTACGTAACTTTCCGACAAAGTTACACTCGACCAGTTTCAAGCCACTACAGGGACCCATAACGATGAGCAGCGAGCAACTACTTTAATAGTAGACTATATTAGACTTAAAAACAATACAATCTTATTTGTCCTTTCATTTGACTAAACAACTGATACACCTGAGATCAGAACACTAATCTAATAAAAATACTTACTCGTTATATAGTACTACGACCACATTATTCTGAGGAGTGATGAAGGCAGTGTTCCAGAGAGACTTCTTCCAACCACACTTCTGTGTAACTTGTATCCTCCTCGACCCTCTTGGAACAAACTTGGAGAAATGTCCCATGGCGTAGAACATCGGTTGTTTGATGAAGGCATTAAATTCTGGGAAAACTAAAATGGGCGAGTCCACATGGTTCGCCGTGTAGGAAGGTCCACCTTGCACGTTCAGACACAAGTTCCAGTCTATCCAACCTACGACGTCGTGGTTTATGTCCTATAACAAATTTTGTGAGATCAGTTAGGCTATTCTGTAACTCAATTCGAAAGATCGACGTCAACTCGATCGCGGTCCGCCATGTTATTGGTTGTGAGAATAATCTTGACCAATCATGGGGGAGAATGCGAACGAGCTCACTTCGAAAGCACAAACTGACATCTTACAGAATAACCTAGTACTAGTAGATATCTTCTGATAATATAACATTGTTTAGAAATAGAATGTTTGGTTATAAAGAATAGGGATGATGACAGGGTATGAAAATAAAACATCTAATTAGTCCGTCAGTTAAGTGATGAAAAAATAATTAGACACGTATTTTTTATTTTCTTGTATAATAAAATGTTACTTAGATATAACGAATCCAAGTTTAGGAGTGGGGGCTAAAACGTCATTTCTACGTATAAAATGTACATAGAAGTGACGTCATGCGACATTTCAAATCAATATATCTTCGAAACTATTCTTTCCGTAAATAAACAAAAATACGTGTCTAATGTTTACAAAAATTGGTCATTTACCCTATTGTGTTGTGTTCTAATTTATTAAAATGGACATCCCATCGTGCCTCTGAGGTTGGCAGAACCTCGTATACTTTCCGAAAATCGACTTGAAACTACTGTCAGTTCGTAAGAAACCTCAAACTAGGAACTCAAGAAAAAGAAAAATTTAGATTACTATGTTAATCTCTTTTAAAATGAAAACAAACTGAACAAGTAGGAAGTGGGAGCTCTTTGTACACCATTTCTCGGGTAGTTTTTTTCAGGGTGATATACTTACATCAATAATATCAATCGCGTATTTTTTCGCCCTCACCCAGGATCCTACGTCCACGTGTTTCTCGAGAATCGGTATACTTCCTGAAATAGTAATACATTACAATTTACAATACATTGGGTATTATTAACCACACTGAAAGTGGGTAGTCAGTAGTGATCAAGAGTCGGTCATTCGATCCCACAACTTTTGTCGCGACATAAGACATAATGACTTAATTACGTTAATATTATGATGTCTTTTATCGGAAACTTCAAAAATTCGAATAATACTTTACTTCGCTTCGTAATTGTTGTTGTGATATATGAAATGATTGTAATATATAAATATTATGTTAATTCTAACCCGCTTTGACTTAATTTTTGATATTTTACCTTCGCAAGCTTCAGTGGCGATGATGAACTTGTTGGGGAATGACTTGGAGACCTCGCTAAGTATGGAGGCGGGCGTGAGGAAGTCGGTGTAGTAATGTACTGCGATACCATCCACATAGTCCAGTACTTTAGGGTGCTCCGCTACTAGCTACGGGAGAGTACAAGCATTATTTTCATTAATTTTCACCAATCACCCCTGAACTGTCAATTAACCAAAAGTCACTTAGTGGGACTATATGATATAACATCACGCCTTTTATCCCCGAGGGGGGGGGGGGGTAGGCAGATGTGTACATTATGCCACTGTACAATATAACACCCACTTTTCTCTATTTTTGTTATGAGTTCCATGTAATAGGGGGTGAATGGGACTATATCCCGCTGCCTAAATAAACCCCTAACTTGTACTGTAGGTAAAGTGAACATTAACCGATCAAGCGGTATATCAATAGAAAATACACTGTGTCTCGCGTGGATCCACGTTTAGACACACGAGCGACGGGTTAAGTGTCGTCCATCTTAGCTTAGTGCTTTTTTTTCAGGAGAGGTTTGTAAGAACGTATGTAATAGTTAATTAATTAATACTGAATAAGAGATACCTATAGTTAACTCGTCGAGTACCGGTTTTGTAGACACAATTATAGAACAATACCTCTAGGTTGCGGTCACCGGTGACCGCTTGGTGTTTGACAGTTTAAAGTCAAAATCATTTATTTCAATTAGACCAGAAAGGCACTTTTGAACGTCAACAAAAATTTTAAATTGAAGCTATTTGCTCATTCCAAGATGTAGATTCTCTGTAGATGTAGAACTCCATAGGTTACTCTTTTCAATCACGTTCACAATACAATTCTCTAGTTACATAGTTTTGTTTATAACCCAATGGGATATGTGGATTATAAGTATGAATTAATGATGATAAAGTCATTGACAATTTTATTCATCTGTAGAACTCATTGATTTGCCCCATATACTATACATACATTCCGGGTTTGTTCAATTCGGTTTAAAAAAAAAATCTTTCCATCCAAACATAGGAAAGTTCAATAGAGATCGATATCAATTAATAAGACCTATATTAACTTTCAAAATACATGTATATTAAGATATATTTTGTCTCATAATGGCAATAGTTAATATCACCACTTACCACATTCGCCCAGTAAGGTAGTGTGAGTCTCTGGTCGTCTCCTGTTATTATTTTCACATCCTTGAACGTTGAGTTACGTATAGTAGGACCCAAGTTCATGATAATCCATCTGCCCTGGAAATAGACGATTTCAAAGCCTAGGTTAGAATGTAGGACAGGATGATATTTTAAAGTTAATATTCAAAATCGTGTCGCTCATCAAAAAAGGAAATCAGTTTTATTAGTGTTCTAGTTGTTCTCTAAAAAAGGCAGAATTTAAAAAAATACAATTGTAATTGCGAGACACCGCAATATGTCATGAATATATTATTATGTATTACTTAGGTTAAACGTAAAAACGCTCAGTACGTTCAGTACGTTTGTGAATACGGACACTACTCAATCTCATCTCATTCACCTCATTAGACTTAGTAGTTATCCCATTAGTATCGAAATATACCTTTCATTCTACATCCTAGAGTTTATCTTGAACTCACCCCAACCCCGAACATAATATAGCCTGCTAACGTATTTTTATAACTAAATGCAGAATGTGTTGGAAGTATAAGTTAATAGGTAAGTCGCTAGGTCCTTCAAAGCATACATAAGTTTATTATACCAATATTATTTTCGTTCCGAAGTAAAATGGTTCTGTCTCGTTGATAAAATGGTTGTACAAAGAAATAAATTATTAAAAACAAAAAATAAATAGTGAATCATTGCAAAAAGCAAATTTCGAAAGCGCATTCGAACTCATTGTAATCAAAACATCACGGCATTTAATTTTCAAAGAAATATTTCTCGTCGGGTGACACGTGCGATGCGAATAGTGCCCACAAAACATCTATAGTCCATCTGTTTAGGTAATTAACTAAAGGTAAACAAACAAAACCACGTGACACAGAGATACTTAACCTTCTATTACTTCAAATATTTCTCGTGTTTTAATTTAAACGAAATTCACTTTAACATCGTTCATTTGTCACACACACACATACAAGCACAAATGCCTAAATCGTACAAGAGCCTATGGGTCTATTTCATTATCATGTTTAAATAGAAACTATTCTGAATCTGATGTACGGATTTCTTTCTTGTACGGATATGTGTCTTTGGGCCAAGTTTCTTCAATATATTTGAACACATTAATTACAAACGATGAATAACCTAAACTTAAATAACGTAATAACAAAAACAAGATAAATTCAACAAAATAGGAACGCGAGCGCAAACGACGAGAGAGCTGTCAATGGCGCCTGATTAACCGACTAAACGTAATACACGCTACTTTCATTGTCGCGGTACATCTTAATTGGACTCTTTAATTTGACAACATTATCTAATGCTTCGTTCATAAAGAAAGGTTTTGGATACCTGGGATTTTAGGCTCTTTATGGTGTCTATTGTAATGAAATATTATATTATTTAATAAAAAACGTTATTAAATTATTATGCTCAAGCAGATATATATAATATTTACTAAGAAATAAGTGAAAAGGAACAGAAACATAACATTTAATAGAGAAAACTGTCGTAAAAATGGAAACAATTTTATTTTCTTATGAAGTATTTTGAGTCATGGAAATGTCAACAATAAAGAACTCTTTTTATGGTTTGTTTACAAATAGTTAACTACCTAAACAGACGGAGTATAGTGTGTCGAGTGCGTAAGTCGATGCATATTTTTTTAAACTAAAAAAAAAAATTTTTTTTTTATTTTATCCTCGAAAGTAGCCTTTATGTTGTAGTTAGTAGTTTGTAGTTGTTTTGCCGCAGGACGAAAACAAAATAGATTTAACGGTGTATGAACGGAATTGAAAGGAATGTGTTACCATACTGGCCGCGGTCCAGCCGAGGTTGTTAACGGAGTGAATGAACCCGACGAGTCCAGTGGTGGGCTCGTTCGTGGTGGTGATGCCCCACACGTTGATACCTTGCTCCTTGTACTTCTCAAGGAACCTGCAGGTACATAGCTTCATCACGTATATGGATGTAAGAAGGTAGAAAAAAAAAGAAAAACAAAAGTTAAAGTTGAAAGGAATTAGGTTTAAAAATATTTCAAGATGCTTGGTCGACACATCTCAAGACCAGAGGGCTGGTCTGTTTCTCGGTCTGAGGTTAAGCATTGCCATACAACGTGGCAATACTGCCAGCCTTCTAGGTACTTTCCCAATTGACGTCGATGCGGACGAATTTTTGATGCTTTTTGTAAATAGCAATTTTGTAAATAAAGTTTTCTTCATTCTTAGAAGGTAGAAATGAATAAAACATAAATTTCTGCTGTTTAATAATCATTGTTTTTGAATTACCTCATTCCCCCAATTACAAAGTAACTATCTTACATGTTAGCTTCCTTGTGCGTACTGCTAAGGAGTGCAATTCTTTGCCAAAGTCTGTATTTCCTGAAGGCTATAACCTGGGGGTCTTCAAGGCCCAAGTGAATGGGTTGCTTATGGGACGACGTGCTCCATCGTAGACCGCATCATCGCTTACCACCAGGCGGGATAGTGGTCAAACATCGACCCATCAAATATAAAAAATATGGAAAGAAGGTATTAGATTAAATATTATATTTGCGCATTCGTCGATTACAAGCCCGTGTGGTGATTGCAGAGCACATACGTCTGTTGCTAGCCCTACTTTTCCCGCAGTTGTCGTAACGTAATAATCATCAAGGCACTTCACATTTGACAGCGACCCGGCAGCAGAGCTCTCTGATAAATCTAAACCTTTTACAATCATCTTACCAAGCGTAGATTATGGCGACCCCTCATAATATCTCGGTGAGGCCCTTATTACTGCAGTGTACTGTCATGAACTGTTGTGGGATGTGAGTCAAATATTTACTTGTAGTGGTAGTCGGCGTAGGTCTGGTAGTACTCCGGTTTCAATAGACTGCGTCCCCTGTAGACGGGGCGCGTCTTCATCCACAGCGGCGGCGACCATGTTGTCGCTATCACATGTATTGGCGTGCTGGATGCTTGCATCGCTGCCTTTATCATCGGGATCTGAAGACACACACAGCTCGTATTATAACATAGCATCACGCCTTTTATTCCCCAAAGGGGTAGACAGAGGTGCACATTTCGGCACTTAATGCTACTGTACAATGTAACACCCTCTTTTCACTATTTATGTCAGTCCCATGTAATAAGGGGTGAGCCTATTGTCTTATACCGGCCACAATTCCAGACTCCGTGCTACGACTGAGAATTTTACAATACTCAGCAATACTTTTCCGAACCGAATCGAACCCGAGACCCCTTACCCAGTAGTCGTACTTGCGACCACTGGGTCAGCGAGACAATTTCCATAATTAACCAACATGATGATGACTGCACAATTGGTGGGGTGCCTAAACAACCGTTTGCGTCGCTACGTGTAGTGGTTACAATTCCCGCACGGAGCAACTCTTTATGTGATCCACAAATTGTTGTTTCGGATCTGAAGTTCATGTGTATGTCACATTCTATGTTCGTAAACAGTTATATATTTTCAAAATATATAATGCAGTTATTATTTATTGTGTGAATTGAACAAGCTAAAATATAAACATATATAACATAAATACACCCACGTCACAGGAGAAAAATAAACATTATCATTTCCGTCTATTTGCTACCGAAACGCATCTCGAAAAGTACTTCAGTACATTTTTATCTATTCGACCAGTACGTACGTACGTAAGGACAGAACCAACTGTTTCTGAATATTTCCACCTCCAAATACTTGTAATTGAACCTCAACTCAAATACATAGATCGACAGTTAGCGCGAGACGTTGGGCCGTGCGCACGCGTTTGAGCCTTTCGCATCGAATAACAATTTTTACGAGTACCCGTAATCCTTTTTTTTTTCTTATGGACGAGGATTTGAGCGGTGACGATTTAAGTGACTCGGATATATTACGAAAATGTGAACAACAACTTAATGAGATGGGAAATATGGGTGAGATAAATCAGGAGAGTGGACAAGACTTAAATGAAGTTGAGATGATAAGGACAGCAGAGAAAAGAAAAGAACGAGAAGATGATTTTAGTGAAGATGATTTTATTACAGTAAGAAGAAGGAATCCCAAACTTTTGATAAGAAGTAATTCGACGGATGTAAATAATGTCAAAGTAAATAATAAGGGAGGTACTAACACATTTGAAACAAGTACTTACCATGAAGTAATTGTTACTTCATTGAATAATCTACCTAAGCCGATTGCTATGGCCAAGTTATTACGGTCGGAAAACATTAAGGATATCCTTAAAATAAAATATAAAAGTTCATATAAAATGACTATCCACTTACAAACAAAAGACGATGCTAAAAAAATTATCGAGAATAAAAAGTTGAAGGACATGGGCTTAAGATGTCAATTAGTGCATGACATGTCAACATCGTACGGAATAGTGAAAGGTATCGATCTAGATCTAGACGAAGAGGAACTTACTAATATTTTAAATGCGGAAGCTGAAATTTTAGCAATAAAAAGATTAAAACGCTTGACGCCGGAAGGAAACTGGATTGACTGCGAATCAGTAAGGGTGAGCTTTAAAGGTAATGTTTTACCACAATACATTTATGCGTACGATTGTCGTTTTAAAGTTGATCCGTACGTATTTCCCGTTACACAGTGTTCGGGCTGTTGGCAATTTGGCCATATAATTAAATATTGCCCCACTAAGAAAATTTTGTGCCCTAAATGTGGAGGCAATCACGAAAACTGCACAATTAAGGACTTCACTTGTTTAAACTGCAAGGGAAATCATTTTGTCCTAGATAAAACTTGTCCTGTTTTTAGAAAAGAGAAATCTATACGTATTATAATGAGTGAAAAACAAGTCACATATCGAAGAGCTCTGCAGTTGTATATGGAAAAGAAAGAAACACAAAACAATTTATACATAAATGATATTCCACAGCGAGTCGAGAACTCACAGCTTAATACCACCTCCAACGCTGTTGAAAGAACCTACAGAGATGTATTGACCAAAGCTGTAGTGCACCAACAACCGTTAACAGATATGGAAGAGGATGAAGGAGAAGAGTCAGAAAAGCATAGTGATGATGTGACGAAAGAAATTTCAAAAAAAAATGGAACACAAACAAAGAAAATTTTGAAAAAAGGGCAACACAAAAGTAATGTGTCGAGGAGGGCACGAAATCCAAACATGGAAAGAAATTGTTTACAGAATGGAAAAGAAGAAAATAAGCAAAATAACATACCACATCCAAATAGTTTTGAATGGACTAGGATATGGACAAAATTAAAAAATATATATTACTCTGAACTTAAACTATAAGAAAAAATACTGTCCATATTGAAAATTGTTTGGGTAGAAGTTAAAAGAATCCTAGTAAATATTATATTCGGAAATAACATCGCGAGATTTTTGAGTGAATTCTGTAATGGATAGTACAGAAGAAGTAATAAAGATAAACATATTCCAATGGAACTCACAGAGTCTCCGTCCTAAACTAGTATCCTTTTCAGGCCTATTAATACAACAGAATATACATATTGCAGTAATTAGCGAAACGTGGTTAGACTGCGAGGTGAATGTAAATATTAATGGTTTTAATGTATATAGGAATGATAGATACGATGGTTATGGTGGTGTTGCTATCTTAGTGCATAGGTCAATTCAGTCTCATCCAGTACCATTTAATGGTAATAATGCAGGTATCGAAATAATTGCCATTAAATTACTTAATTGTAAAGACTTGGAATATATTGTGTCATTATATTGCCCTTCATCTAATCACACTCAACATTCCGATTGGGAGAATATTTTTGGGCACTTTCATAGTAAAACTCTGATAGCTGGGGACTTTAATGGCCATCATACGAATTGGTCGTCTAAGTTAGACGTGAGAGGGGTTCAAATTATGGAGTCAGCCCTGGAAAATGACTTTATATCACTTAATAACGGTTCTGCAACTCGGGTAAAGATGGTAAATGGAAATCTCCAACAGACGTCCCCAGATGTATCTTTTGTATCCGCGGACGTTGCTATAAAATTTGGCTGGAACATTTTAAATGAGAACCTAGGCAGTGATCACCTAATTATTAAAATTACGGCAAACTTATCCTATACTACATATATAGTTAAAAAACGTAACTTCAAAAATGCCAATTGGAGTGAATATAGTAAAACAATCTCTGAGTATATTGAAACATTTAGTGAAGAACAATTTAATGGTAACGTGCAACAAATGTACGACTCCTTTATAAAATGTATTGAAGATGGAGCAAGTAAACATATTCCATATTTTAAATTCAGCTTAAAACCAAACGGAAAATTTAAACAAAAAAGTTATTGGTGTCCTAAATTGTCTAAATTAGTTGCGCAACGTAGATTGGCCCTGTCGACGTTCCGTAAAAACCCTACCCCTGATAATCTAAGTAAACTGGAGCATAAGACGTCAGAAGCCCATAAAGCAATTAAAAAAGCTAAATTTAACTGTTGGCAACAATTTTGTGACTCTATTAACGAAACGATGTCTACAAGGGAAATGTGGCGTCGTATGAAATGGATTAAAGGTTTTAAACAAGAAAAATGGTACCCTCCCGTTGAGAAACAAGTTGCACTTCTACGTTCTCTGACTCCAGATTATGTAACTAATGTAATCCCTAGCTTCAAATCCCAAAATAACTTGTTAGAATCCGATTTTACACGACAAGAACTGGATACTTGCATGAAAAAAAAAGAATTCAGCCCCAGGACAGGATGCGATATCTTACTCGATGTTGTATCATTTGCCGGATTCGGGCAAGAATCTCCTACTAAAGATATACAATCATGTTTTTGGATTCGGAATTGTCCCTCATCAATGGCGGAACATTGAAATAATCCCCATACCAAAAACTGCAAACAATGCTAATAATGAAACTAAATTGAGGCCTATTTCGTTAATGTCGTGTGTTTGTAAAATATTTCATTTAATGATTTGTAAAAGGTTGGAATGGTTAGTTGAAAAAAAGAGGTTATTGTCTGCTCACACAGTAGGATTTCGAAAGGCACAATCTTGTATGGATGCTTTATCTCGAATAGTTTCGTATATTCAGGTCGGATTCACTAAAAACTTCCCTACAGTTGCTTGCTTTTTGGATATTGAAAATGCGTATAATAATATTTCAATTGATTCTGTCACTAAAATATTAGATGAAATTAAGGTCGGCTCTCGAATTTGTACATATCTTTGGTCGTTCATGAATGAAAGACATTTAAAAATCAAATCCTTTAATTATGAAGATTCAGAAACGAGGTTAACTAACAGAGGACTGGCACAAGGTGATCCATTGTCACCTTTGCTATTTAATCTAGTGACCCATCAAATATGTCATCAATTAAAAACCGTCATGATATCGCAATACGCAGATGACTTCGTTATATATTTTAGTGATAAAGAAATAAACAAATGTCAGGGTCACTTACAGAATGCCTTAAACTCCATTATCTTGTTACTGGATGGGATAGGATTGACTCTGTCTTCAAGCAAATCTAACTATTGTGTATTTAGTAGAGGAAGACGGCGAATATTGCCTTCATTAAAGGTTTATGATCAGCCTTTAACAATGGTAGAATGTGTTAAATATCTAGGCGTTTGGTTAGACAGAAGTCTTCTTTGGCAAAAACATATCAACGAAATTGTTAAGAAATGTGGAAAATATCTAAATGTTTTAAAGGTATTATCAGGTTCCTCTTGGGGAGTGCACACAAAAAATATGCGTAAAATGTATATATCATTAGTAAGAAGTCGAATTGATTATGCCTGTTATCTATATTGTTCTAGTGCAAAAACACATACAAGTAAATTGGACAAATTACAAAACCAAGCACTTAGAATTGTTGGAGGATTCATAAGAAGCTCTCCAATCCATGTGATGGAGAGTGAACTGTACATACCACCATTATATTTAAGAAGAGAATATCTTGCGTATAAATTCATTTTGAAATCTCTTTCAAACTCTAATAGTGTAACTATAGATACAATATCAGAATTAGACTCTTTATCTAATAACAACTATTGGACAAATAAAAGAAAACCCTTATTGGCTACTTCCTTTAAAGAGTTACGACACCTGCAAATTAATAGGTCTGATAGTCTGAGGATGTTTTCATTAGATACCTGGTTGTCTGGTTTTCATTTTAAGGATTATATTAAAAGTGAATTAGATTGTGTAACGCACTCAAAAAAATGGTATAATCACAATGCATTAATACATGAAGTGGTAGCAGAATTAACCTCTAAATATAATGGTTGGTATAAAATCTTCACAGATGGATCAAAGAGTATGGCTGGATGCGGAGCAGCATTCTTCCGCCAAGATATAGGTTATAAATGTATGTATAAAATTAATTCAGATATATGTATTATGTCGCTGGAACTATTTGCAATTTATCAAGCGTTATCTTATTCCCTAAGTCAAAATTTGAAAAAAGTAGTTATACTAACAGATAGCAAGAGTGCTTTACAGCATATGGCTCGATGCGCCTCTGATAGCAGAGGTGCATCGACAGCCTATGAAATTCTAAAACTATTACACTGCTATAATAATGATGGCATTAATATTATCTTGCAATGGGTTCCAGCACACTTGGGCTTAAGAGGCAACGAAGAGGCTGACCAATTATCCAAAATGGCAGTTGAGATGGGAAATGATACCATGTATGTGCCAGATTACTGGGAATATTTTTCTAGGTTCCAGAATATATGTTTTGATAAATGGATAAGCCACTTCAATGAAATTTCTAAAGATAAAGGCATCTGGTATAAAGTCATACAAAATGTACCCCCTCGTGGACCTTGGTTTGATGATAAAAACTTACCCAGGAATTATGTTAAGTTAGCGTTAAGACTTCGCTCTGGCCACTATCCATCGGCAAAGTTTGCCTTCTTAATGAGGAAAGTTTCATCGCCTAACTGTTCTGTGAGATATGTCATAAAATTGAAGATGTGCAGCATTTACTGATGGAATGTGAAAGGAACAAGAATGAGAGGGAATCCTTGGCTAGAGAATTTAAATTAAACCTGTGGGATGTTGGACTTATGCAAAATATTTTAGCTCACCCTAAATCAAACATGTCTAAATGCATTATTTCTACC